CATTTACCTACTCCACCATCTTTACCAGAACCTTAACCATGGTTTTAGAAGAGGAAACAGCCCGATATGCTAAGAGAAAAAGAAAAAGGAATATGGACACTGGACTTCTTTAATTCCACATGTTATGTGTTTATAGTATTTTAAACCCTCCACATGATATATCTTTTGAATATCAAAACAACTATGTGTGATGGGCTATACAAGATATCTATATTATCTTCAATTTATACGTGAACTATTGAAACAAAATACACAGTGCCTCAGTTTAAATGGCATGTAAATGGCAGATCAATTTTCCAGAGATCAGGAGACAGTGGTCACTTTCAAGGAGAAAATAAAGAATCTACATTTTGCATGAGTCAATTTTATCTAAACAAATATTTTAAGTAGTATAATTAATTATAATTGGGGGTCAGATCAACATGAATTTATGAAACTTCTGAATTATAAAATATTACAAGTACAATGTTTCTATTTAGTAAACTCTAAACTAGGTTGACAAATTTTTGCTTCTTCATAGGTTCCAGAGTTAATGAATGGTGACAGTGACCTGCAGCCAAGTTTCTGGGGCATGAGATTCAGTATCTATATACCAGAATATTCTACCTAAAATGACCTCAAAGTTTATCCTGCCAACTTTACACTCAGTTCAGAAACTCTCTTTTCACTATTCCACCAGAACGGTAGTGTTAGCCTGGAATGAAAGGCACGCTGTGGTGATTTCAAGTCCTCACCTACCAATGTTTTCCTTAAATACTCCTTTATTCTGTTCATTTGTTTACCAAAATATCTCTTCATAATTAGTTAAGAGTTTAATTTCAATGTAGACCAAATCTAAATAAGTAGATTTTCAGTGTGTAAGCAAGAGGCAGTGAGAGATGTGGAGGGCACAGGGAGAGAGCGGCTGCAATCATCATCATAGTCACACACATCTAGACTATACTTGTTACCTCCCCACAGAAAGAAAAAGAAGAGCATACCCCAGACACATTCCCCAGACAGCTCACAGATGGCTTCAAATGGAAACCTGAAGAAGCAGTCTAAGAGTCTGAACTATGTTTATGAAATGGGCAAGTTTGGTTGAAAGCATGTTTCATGTTCCAGAATATTGCTCAAAATTATAAAAGCAATTAATTGTGAGAGATCAATTTTCTTAAAATATAATATGCATCATGTTGCTATCCTATTGAAAAAACTCACCAGAGTATGGATAAACTTCTCAGCCTGACATTCAAAACTTTCTAAGAGATGGCCCCTACCTGCTTTTATGCTTGTCTCCTGCCAACCTTCCCTGGAGCACCCCTAGAATGGAGGTTACCTCAAAACAGTTTTGTATGATAGGCTGGACCATGGCATTTATTTTTGTCTTAGCCTCAGACCATGTTCCCATGGCCTCCTTTGAACACATTTGGACTAAGCAACTATCATGTGCAGAGCACTGTTGTAGACTATGTCAAGGCAGCCTCGCCCCTGTCTTCATGGAGCCAGCAGGCCAACAGGGCATGCCTAGCCCTGCAGTGCACAGAAGAGCAACCACCATATTTGTGTAGAATTAAATTGGCACAAAGATGACACCCAGAAGAAAGTTTTGCAGCCCCTCCCTTTGCAGTGTATCCCAGGAACCTCAAGAGCTTCCCTTTTTTGTCCAGACCCCATCTTGGGCTGTCTTTGTGTCCTCTCCTCTCCTCCCTCCACCACAAACTTACTAATCTTGCTTATGAAGTTACTAGAGGCCCAGTGCACGAATTCGTGCATGGGTGGGTCTGGCTGGCCCAGCCCCAATCTGGGCAGATTGGGGCCAGGCCTGTCGGAGGAGGAGATGGCGGGAGGTTGGCCGGCTGGCCCACCCTGCTCGGGGCCTGATCAGGGCTGGGCAGGCTTCAGGGAGGTACTGAGGGCAATTGGCTGGTGGGCCCCACCCCTGTTTGGGGTGGGGGGCCAATTGGGGGTGGGGCTGGCTGTGGGGAGGGGCTGTGGGCGGTGGGCTGGCTGGCCTCACCCCTAAATGGGATAGGGAGAGCCGATCAGGGGCCAGCGGCCTGGGGGAGGGTCCATGAGTGGTTGGCCAGCCGGCCCTGCCCCTGATAAGAGTGCA